CTGTATTATTGCTAAACATGCCGTTTTTGAGAATTTGATTTTCAACTAGGTTGAGGCATCCAACCACGCCATCAATCCCAGTAAAAACATTAGGTCACGTCAGCTAGTTTCATATCCATTTATTTTATTATCCATGGTATAATCGAGAAAATTCTAGAAGTTTTTATTGTATGACTACATAAAATATTAACAATATAAAGAAACAGAATGCAAATCATACCGATATAAAACTGGCATTTATGTAGGTTTCTGAGTCATTTTCAGACAGCGGGACCAGAGCATCGTCATCTAATGAGAAAATGAAGTGATAAGTGAAGAAAGAGTATTTCGAAGAAAAGTAAACCACATTTCAGAATATACTGAAACTAGATTATCATATAGAGAAAAAAGCAGTGGTGTCAAGTAACGAAGTAAATGTACTTCGTTACGGTACTTGAGTACTATTTTTGAGAAGACATCATGTAACAAAGTAAACTTTTTCTGGGGTACTTTTATTTGGAACGAAGTTGTTTCAAGAAGTAACGTTTTACTTCTTTATTTTCATTTTGTGGCGAAGTATTTCGTTACTTTCTAACTTTTGTTTAATTTTACGTGATTTATTCCGGATTTATTTTAATTTTGGGATAGGTAATAGGACCTCTATATGCGTCTGGGATCTCTCTTTTGTGGCTTACTTATAAGCATAATTTATTTAATTTCTTATATCTTCAACGGGGTCTGCAAAGTAGGCCATGCCGTGAAATAGTGTATATTAAGTGCATACAGTGATAATAGTGTATATTAAGTGCACACATATAATGCGTGCGCTGTTTTGTGTCTTTTGTATGTCAATCCATTGGAGATGTCCCCCCCCCCAAACGCTACAGACAATAGTATTTTTACTTTTTACTTCAAGTATTTGTTAAAGATACTTTGTACCTTTTTACTGTTACTCAAGTCGTTTTATTGTTAATTACTTCTACTTTTACTCAAGTACAAATTCAAAGAAATTTAGGCACCACTGGAAAAAAGGTAAATTAAATATTTGCATAACATTTGGTATACGAATACTATAACATACTATGGAAACTCGATTAGTATGGACATAAGATTTCCATACCATTTCCAGTATAGGATCCATACTACTATTTATATGTAAGGATTTGACAAAATTCCCAGTGATGAATAGCTTTACTTACAAGAGACAATATTTCCATATCTGTTTTTAGGTTTATTTTCAGGACTCTTGGCAATAGTGCAGGGATAACAAATGCCCTGAGGCAGTTCCTAAGTAATACAAGAAATAAAATTACCAGGATGTTGTTAGTACCCTTCCTTTCGCCGGGTCGGCGCTCCGCAGAGTATAGGTTGGGATAAATTATCCTATAGCAATGGTCGATTCCAGACATTCCAGTATCATCCCGTATCAACGATGGAACAATAAGGAGAAGAATAAGGGTTGAAGTATGTGTCATTACTACTAAGATCGTGGGTTCAATTCTCGTTGCGGACTCGTGACATTTATGTGAAAAGAGTCAGTCGAAGCTCTGTCGAATGTCGTTTGTTTCTTCCGGTACTTCGGTTTCTTCCCACAAGGAATATATTGACAGGATGGGATAGGATAAATCCTAAACTTTCCTCATTGTAACTGTGCTCCGTGATCAGACATGAGCAATACGGTGGAAGGCGAAGCGCCCTTAGTAAGCCTTAGATTTGACAAGGTATGTTAAATAGCGTCCTTCGTAAATCTGCTCAGTCCTCAGTTGCAAGTAAGGATGATTAGCACACCACACATACTCACATATTGGAAGTGGTCACGTGTTATCCACACAATTACTATATACCTTAAATTGCTGATCAAATCCAAAATTTTCATTTTTCTTCATATCACGAACGTAACTTTCAAATTCCTCAGCAGGCACCATGCGGAATGGATCTCGAGTGTCGGTCACTAAGACAACCGAATAATATTTATGTATTATATATTATTAATAACATATAATACATAATGATCTAAAAAGTTCGAGCAACTTTTGATAGGTATAACGACGCACTATTATTAAGTAATGGTCAGTTGTCAGATTGAGAAAATAATGTTAATTCTTTCAATATGCGTAGTCGTCTTGATAGTTATTGAATTCCCCTAGAAGGGCTAACATTTTGAAATTGATCACCATCTGCTGTCTTGCACCCCTTACTGAAACCCATCAATATGGGCACAGATGAAGTATATACCAGATGTGTAACTTAATAGGAATTTGTGTCCTCAAATTTCCCTAGATGTACACGTCATGCTCACGCCATGACACTTGCTAGGAAGATGGCGTCCTGGAAAACATGAACTTTTGCATTTTATTGCGGCTTTTTTGGATCGAAATTTATGGATTAAACAATCAAGAGCATCATTTGTTCAATGTTCAAAGTTGTTAAAAGCAATTAAAGTTGTGGAAAAGGTGTTGAAAGCATTTTGAAAGCAATGACGTATTACCAAATGACCTGATGTCACGCGAGCGACACTTGCTAGGAAGATGGCGACCGTGGGACAACTTTTTTACTGAAGTTACACATCTGTTCTTACTTAATCTATGATATGGGTGACACTAAGGGGCTGTCACACTTATCAGAATTTTGGGCATATCACTCGACAGAACTAAGTGTTGCAGGGTTTTCGTAAATAGAAATACAATTTTCGACCTGACCAGAATCCAGGAGCAGCTTCGAAAGATCAACTCTTGGCCCTCTGGCAGGAATCGAACCTGCAGCCCTGCAATTTCGGTGTAGCTCAGTTGGTTAGAGCGCTGCACTGGAATCGCAGGGCCGCAGGTTACATTCCTGCCAGAAGTCTTATAGTTGCATTTTCTACAGCTGCCCCTGATTAGGTCTAAGAATGTTTAAAATTTACACTCGAGATTTCCATCTACAAAACCATTCACACTTAGCACACTTTGCGATCGATCTAAATTAGGACGATGATCTCAAACCGATGCGAGTCCGGTTTCTTGAACTTTGGGGGAAGTGCCCAAACTTGCCCAAAAACTTGAATGAATCAATAGTGCGTGGTGCTTTAATCGATCTCGAATCGATCTCAATTCGTTTTGGTTGTGCCGGGGACGGCTAAATCGCTAGTGGAATAACGGCCCCATAGTATTAGAATACACCAAGGCTGGTTTCCTGGGTTAATTAACCAATTCGTGACAGTGCGCGGCCACGCCTTGGCAGGACCTGGACCCAAACATGTAAGTGCTAGCGGCATATGGTCATGCTCTATTGGCGCCAGGCCCCAAACGCCCGCCGTCTAATATATATCGACAGGAAACCACAAACTTTATCGATCCTCACCTTTTGCATTACCGTAAATCATTTCTGCATTGTCAGCATTTTCGCCAGCAGCATCTGTTTCTGAATCCGTATCTCTGTCGTCAGCACCTGGGTCCTCCATAGCAGCGTAATGGCCGTCGTCAGCACCTAAATCGTCCATAGCTACGTATTGGCTGGGGACATAGTTATCATATTCGACCTCTTCATTACAATTACCACCATTGGTCTCGGTATTATTCATAATTTTGGCAGCGCTAACAGACTTTTTTATTCTTTTCTTCCTGAAAGTAAAACCATGATTAAACTACGATAACACAGTAATCTTAAATCCATTACCACAGAACAAAAAACGTTAACGAAAAAGCTACCTTTGCCGCATTTTGAACAAAATGAAAAGGATGGCAAGAATAATCAAGATCACTGCAAGGCCAACTCCAATTCCTATCCATGTTCCTGTTTCTGATGGGAGAGATGAAGATGAAACATTATATTATCACATGCCATAGAATAGCATAGCATACAACAGAGAATACCATACCATATACCATACCATATACCATACCATATACCATACCATATACCATACCATATACCATACCATATACCATACCATATACCATACCATATACCATACCATATACCATACCATATACCATACCATATATCATACCATATACCATACCATATACCATACCATATACCATACCATATACCATACCATATGCCATACCATATACCATACCATATACCATACCATATACCATACCATATACCATACCATATACCATATCTAGACAATCTCGCTGGATTACACCAGCCATTAAGCAATTAATGCGTAATTAATGCGTAACAGAGATTTTCACAAAAAAGTCATTAAATTCAATTCTAGATATCATTGGAGCAAATATCAGAATTTACGGAATAAAGTAAATATAGAAATGAAATTAGCAAAATCCCATTTCTATCAATGCGAATTTCAAACTTGTTCTAGATCAAGTGACCTTAAAAAGACCTGGTCGCTGATCAATTCTCTTATTGGTAAAAATAACAAATCCAATATCAATGAAATTATAGTCAACAACAACACTATTTCCGATCCAAAATTCATTGCTGAATCTTTTAATGACTATTTCGTTAACATTGGCTTACATATACCATCTGAAGCAAGCAGAGAATTTCATGATGAAGGTTTGCCAAACAATTGCAGCCGTGCTGGCTCTATAACGAATTCGCCATTCTGCTTTTTCGAAATTGGTATCGAAAATGTATCCACGACTCTCCGCAATGTAAAAGCCAACAAATCTACTGGGCTGGACAAAATACCAGCCAAAATCCTAAAATTAGCATGAGACATTATCGCTCCGTCGCTAACGTTTATATTCAATTTATCACTTGCGACTGCCATCTATGTTGATGACTGGAAACGTGCTCGTGTTACCCCTATTTATAAATCTGAGGATAAAAAAAATGCGAAAATTATCGGCCGATTTCAATATTGCCAATTATAAGCAAGGTCTTTGGAAGAGAGGTGTTTCGTCAATTGTACCATTACCTCTCCAAAAACTCTTTGCTTTCTAGATATCAATCCGGATTTCGCCCTAAGCATTCAACATTATCAGCACTGATACAAATGTGTGATAAGTGATTGCAAAACATGGATAACGGAAATTCGAATTGTGTAGTATTTCTTGACGTTCGAAAAGCGTTTGACTCAATAAATCATGAAATACTACTACAAAAAATGCATGACCATTTTGGCATAATTGGCACTGAACTGTAATGGTTTAAATCTTACCTTGCTGTTTCAACTATATATAAACGATGTGCCTAAATCTTTAAAATTGCACTCCCTCTATCTATGCAGATGACACGGAAATTTATGCATCTGCTAAAGATGGTGACGAGCTGGTCACCAATATAAACTCTGATCTTGAAAATGTCCGTAAATAGATGTTACAAAATAAGCTTCAAATTCATCCAACAAAGACAAAACATATGTATACTGGATCGTCTTTTAATATTAAAAACAAAATTGCTCAGAACCCAATTTTAATTAATAACGTACCAGTCCCCAGGACAGAAAACTACACATGCCTGGGTGTTGACCTGGATGAAAGGTTTACTTGGGAAAAACATATAGATACCATACCATACCATACCATACCATACCATACCATACCATACCATACCATACCATACCATACACCATGCCATATACCATACCATATACCATAACATATCATACCATATGTTGAGTTCAATATAAAACTGTATGTTATCCAAATATTAGTATGACGTAATACTGAGAGACAAATGCATGATGGGATTGTTGTGTTGTTAGTTGAACTTCCTCGTGAAAGTAACTTACAGTACAAAACTACATTTGTAATAAACGTGAAAATAAAGAGTGATTTCATTACAAATACGGTGTTCTAAAGTCATGGCTTCAACAGGTTATGGGCCCAGCAGAGAATCACGCTGGT